TTATTACGGGAGGGGGGGATCTGACCCTAATATATGTGTACATATATATGTAAATCCACCACTGGCTTTACTTAAACTTCAAATTGAAACATCTCGTTGACGGATTGACAGAAATCGAACATTTTAACACCAACATTTATTTAAAATAATACTATTTATAGAATTTGTAATGTAGGTTCTCAATTGAAAAACAAAAGTTGATATCACCACAGGATACTCCTTAAATGTTGTGCAAAATCTAAGTATTCGAAAATATCGGATTAAACTACATTTAAAAATTACATAAATTAGAATTTGAATACATGTGAAATTTAACCAAAAAAAAAATGGGGTGAACGCGCTTATCGAATTCGCCGTTTAAACCCGAGAATATACGCTTCATACATATTCAGTATTTATATAGTATTATTAATTAATATCTCAGGTCGAGTATAATAATAGTCTTAAACATCTAGACGGAATATATTAACCACAGTTAATATTTAGTTTACCATTTTAATCTATACTTGACATGTCACTGAATATATGATTTTAGTATGCAATTTCCGTTTTGTATTTTTTAGACTGTTTAGCATTAATTATTTAGTTTTGACATGTTATTAAAAATGGAAAAATATCAATAAAACTCAAAACGAAAAAGGGCACTGTCGTTGAGCAACTTTTAGGTTCTGAGTGTAGTGAAGCTATGGTTTTACAAAGATGTTTATTATTTTTCTGTGGACAAATTTTCTACCCAAGAATTTACTTAGATTTTTACATGTAGCATTTTTTCCGAATCTGTGTGTAGAGATACTTCACGGACGTCATTTTTCCAGGTTAGTTAACCAAGAAAAACGTACGAAAAACGGGAAAATCCGTACATTAAACATATTTCATTAAAAATAATATATAATGCCTATTTAATTATTTTACCATTATATGATATATTATATATTGTTAAAAAAGCATCACTATCAACTGAACTCCACTTGGAATTGTTTTATCGTTAGCAATTTTTAATCGTTGTTAACAGATAAACATTGAAATACCCTTAACAGTAGCTGCACCCGTCCCCATTATCCTAGTACGTGTTGTTTTCTTATAAAAGTACAATAGACGTTTAATAATAATCAGTTAATCACATATATAGAAAGTTTTTATTTATCAGTCAGACGCTTCTGGTAAGTTTAAGCAATTTTAATGATCAATATGAATGGCAAATGCAATCAATAATATGGTAGATAATACTTGTAATGAATATTTCTCATTCTTTCTAAGAAAGAACATTTATCTTGAGTTGATATTGTACGACCATAAATGTGAATGCTTTGACAATTAAGGCGAGTAATTGTTCGAAATTTATTTCGTAGAATCCACACAACTTAAAATTGAAATCATCGTGCAATCTGCCCAATAAGAAATATGCTATCTAAAAAAAAAAAAAGACAAGTTTCACATGATAGCTGAGCCACGATTATAGGTGAGAGGTTGGGAAGTTAATCGAGGTAATCTAAGGTAATCGAGAAATAAACAAAAAAACTTTTACAAATTTATTAAGAAAACTATATGGAATTCAGGAAAATTCTGATAATGTATTTGATTGGATTTTAATCTTGATTTCTGGAAGAAAAGTTAGTAAAAATAATACATTCTTAGTTTCACTTAAAATAAAAAATAAAAATCATTACCTGCCTTGATTAATTTATTTTTATATTTATTTTTTAACCATCAGTACCTGTCGATGGATTTTTGGGTTTGTTTCTAATACGATCCGTTCGTTCAACACCAATGTTGTTCGTTTGATCTGTTAAACAAAATGTTTAAATTTTCTATCAATATGATCTGTCTTGTTTAACAGTTAACTCGTAAGAACAAAAAAATATGTATTATGGGCCTCGCAAAACGTGTTAAAATTTTATAAGTTGTTAGTTATAATTAGTTAGTCCGAATTTATATGTTTTCACATATTTGATTGAGTGTATCAGTCCATGAAAGTAAAAATATCGTTCAATACACAGTTCACAGGAAAAAGTTTTATTACTTATATTTGAAAATATTTTAAGGATTAGAAAGAATATTTAGTATATTTACTATATTTTGGAATATTTTGTTAATTGTAAAAAATACTAATTTATTGTAATTTTAAATTATTATTAAAATTAACCTAAAAAAAATATTTTTCAAATCATTTAACAACCATTATATACATATTTTATTATTTTAATGAAATAAAAGTAAGCAAAACGGACATACTTTGTCATATAACATACATACAACAATTTTTTAAAAAATATTAAAATAAAAAAAAAAAATAATAATAACAAACAATAAATAAAAACGGTTGGCAATGACAACCTCATTTTTAATCTTTCAATCTTTTTTAACGTAAAGAACCAGGTTTTCCTCATTATCTCGAATATTAATGAAAATTTCAAAATGTGACCTCTTTAAAGTACCCCCCAGAGAACATATCCTTTCAGAAAAGGTACTATACTTAATAATCCGGAGTAAGCTTTCTGGGAGAAAAAGTGTTCACATAAAAAAAAGTAAACATCTTTGTGATACCAATACATACTTGGCTAAACTCAAAATTAAAAAAAAAAAAAAAATTATAAAGCATTGATGTACTCCTAAACGGTAAGACGAATATTTGTGTTATTTATGCCAACATTTATAGAATATATTATTTTTTCGAATTTGTGTCGAAAAAGAGCTTTTAATATTTGATAATCAACATTTAATAGTAATTTAAGATCTCTTTATGAAGTACGGGTTGACATTTGAAAATGACGTTTAAATAAAACTTACAGAAATTTTATGATTGAAAATGAAAAACAAAAAACTTCCATAAAACCCTTTGAATAAATTGGATCACGAGAAAAAAAATATCGCCATGTATATATATATACGGTAATTATAAACGAACCTCTCGTTCGGTCGTGTAACACACCCAATAAAGTACGAAGATGGCAAACATTCTCGATATAACGTGTCCCGTGATGAAATAATAGTTGAGACCAATTCTTTCGAATGCTTTCCCGAAAAGTAAGAAATAAAACACATCGAAAGATATATGCGCCATATTGCCGACGATGAAATTAACCAACGCGGGCATCCCGTATATAGAAGTGTTCATGTCTTCTATGCAATCCACCACAGTCATATACACGTCCCGTAACTCACTTATGGACACACAAGGTTTGGATATCTCTTCGTTTATTTCGTATATTATGCACTGGAAGCACGTCAACAGTATAACGTATTCGTAATACGCCACGAAAGAACACACGTCTACGGCGAAGTAAAACACCTGAAAACATAGATAGATAGGCACCGTTACAAACTTGAAGTTATAAAATAATGTTTTAGCTTTAGATACCTATGTATCTAAGTATTAGATACCTAATTAACTAAGTGTTCTACATTTCTGATAGTCATTCAGAAGTTAGAGTGGGCAGTGTACGTCTAGCGAAAAGACGGCTCACTCATAGAATAATGGAAAGTAAAATAGTTGGGCAAAGACCAAGAGGCCTCATCAAAGGTGGTATGATATAATGTAGAAACAGATTTATGGATGCATGGATGTATCGTTGGATTGAGGGCTGTGAAAGAGCATTGTGGAAGTGGCAAAGGATCCAAATGGTTAATTTAGCACATAGAAGAGAAAAATAGATAAGTGGTTAATATTATTATTTTTGAGAAATTTTAAAATTAAGAGTCCACTTGGAATATTTTGTAACCAATTTTTTTTTAGTAGCTATTATCTGCAAGTGATTTTCACTTTGAGGACAACTAATGAAAAAACAATTATGTAGTTTTACCAGTACATATGTACAGAATATCGCTTGCTTTTAGGCGCCTACATTTCGGCTATTCCAAGGTTGGTACCTTAACTGCACACAGACCTTCCTGGGAATGTCAAATTTTTTTCGATCACAAAACTTCGGGTACGCATTAATTAAGCTCAAACCTTCAGTACCTGGTAAGCTCTGGTCAGACGTAAATTAGGACATAATTAACCGGAAATAACCAGAAATCGTTTGTGCTGTTAGGGTACCTACCGGTTAAAATTTTTTGGGATAATTCGCATTTCATGGTTCAATGATAAAATAAAACGTAGGTAAAATGTCCCCTACCAAGTCCAACAACCGGAAGTTGGGCATATATAAATAATGGTTTATAGGTTTTATAACGTGTCCCATAAAATGTACAACGACTCCTATGGCAAGCAGTCGTATAACGTTTTCGTTCAACGGTTTTATGGCGTTTAGTTCTGTCAATTTCTCATACATCTTTTCTAATTTGACCAATATGATTGACAAACGATTGTCGAAAACAATTCGCCAAGCAATCGTTAATATTTTTCCGGTGTGCATGATTTCGAAACAAACGGTCATCACGAGGGCCGTAGGATCGTAAAACAATGTTTTGTTACCCTGCGGATAAAAATTAAATATTTATTAATTTAAATTTTAACCTCGTAGAGTCACAGTAACAGATACAATTGTTATTATGTTTGTTTTATACCTACCGTGTATTTTTGGGCGTTAATAAACTGTTTTATATGTGCGAAAATCAAAATACACCGCCAGACTACGATTGTAATAAACACACAGTTGGCCTCGTTGTAGTTTATGCTGCCAACGCCTCCGAAAAAAAAATACCGGTTGAACCATTTAAATTTAGATTTAATATCCATAGGGATGGAGAGTTTCAATCGGAACCGTTCGATTTTGTTTTAAACTTATAACTGACACTGTTCAATGAAAAGAATACCGTAAGTGCATTGGTGTCAGTTAAGTGGATGTCGATCAATATTTGTTAATAAATTAATAAATTGGATTTTATTAAAGAGCAAATAAAACAGTAGGTATAGTCATTAATAACTAAAAAATTACATTCATACAGTCTTACCCCAGGGCTTCTTCATAAATTAATATCTACGTGTAACGGCAATAGTTATTTAAAAAAAAAAACTCATTTAAAAGAAAAAAAACTGTCATAAATATCCTTAAAAGTTAGGTTAGTTAGAATATATGATACATTATTTATTTATGTGATTGAACTACTGGAGAGTGCAGTTTAAAAATTTAGGAGATAAAAGATTATAAATTATCAAATATAATATTGGTGGCCCTAAAAAGGGCCGTTTTAATAATTTATGTGTCAATTTAGGAGTTCATTTTATTTGGAACTGGTGTATTTGGTCACGGCTTTGGTGCCTTCACTAACAGCATGCTTGGCCAATTCACCGGGCAATAATAAACGAACGGCAGTCTGGATTTCCCGACTAGTGATTGTGGAACGCTTGTTGTAATGTGCCAAACGACTGGATTCGGAAGCGATGCGTTCAAAAATATCGTTAACGAAACTGTTCATGATACTCATGGCTTTCGACGAAACACCGGTATCAGGGTGCACTTGCTTCAATACTTTGTAGATGTAGATTCCGTAGGATTCTTTTCTCTTGGGCTTGCGCTTCTTGTCGGACTTGGTGATATTCTTCTGGGCCTTGCCGGATTTCTTCATCGCTTTGCCTGCTGATT